ATATTATGCTTAGTTTAAAATTAATTTTAAATATTAAATTTATTTTATAGGAAATTATCATTGTATAGGTGAAAATGAAGAAACTTTATTTCGATTATTTGAAATACCCAAAGATAAGAAAGATTTGATCATAAATGCGGATAGTGCAATTCAAACATATTGGACTCATATTCATAATGATCCTTCTTATGCTTCTCTGAAATTTAAGGAATTTAATTATTTATCTTCAGGTATCTTATGAAATATTATTTTTATTTTTATTTTTTTTTTTGCATAAATATTTAAATGAACTTTAAGTTTTCTTTATAAAAATAAGTAGCAGCATCATCAATTATACCAGCATCACCATCAGTATCACCAACAGCAGTAGCATCATGAACACCATCACCACTAATAGCATCACCACTAATATCAGCAGCAGTAACAGTAATACCATCATCATCATCATCATCACTAGCAACAGCAAAAACATTATCACCGCCAACAGCAGCAGCAGTAACAATACCATCACTACCTGCAGCAGCAAATACAATCCAACCATTTAGTCAATATTTTGGGATTTTTCATAACAACAATAAAGTTATTTATCAATCTCAAGATTTTATTTGCAGTAATAAAAAAGAAAAATTTGAAGAAGATTATCTAGATCATTCTTGGTTTGTAAATTAAATTTTTATTGTTTGTTTATTAATATTTTAATATTATTGATTTTAATATATATAATTTAATATTTAATAGTTGCGTTGACAAAATGCTATATGATATCAATAATTTAGCAGATTATCTTTCTGACCTAATGGCATTTTATTATCCGTCAATGTATAATAATTTAAGTAATCTTTGTTTTCCGGATCAGGTAAATTATTTAATTAAAAAAAATTATTATTTTTAATAAACTTTATTTTTATTATGCTTATTTTTATTTTATTGTTCTAGGTAAAAAAATTATTTAAGGTATTTAGAATGTGTGCAATAAATTTCAATACTATTTGCAGATATCATATTGATCATGATGATGATAAATATGAATTTTATTAGCTTGTACCATTAGGAGATTAGGAGGGAGAGGATTTAATATTTCCACGATTAAATGTAAGAATAAAATTAAAACCTGGAAATATTTTAGCATTTAGATCAAATTTACACTGGTCAAATCAAAAAAATCAGATATATGATAAATCATCCATCAATCATCTGTCAATCAGACATAATCATCAATCAGATAAAAATCAACCTAAATCAACCTGTCTAATTTATGGTCGATTGGAGTTAAGCCAAAATTTCAATTCTGATTGATTCAATCAGATAGTGCAAAAATCGTCTGATTGGAAACTTCGTCCCAAAGGAACAATAGAAATTGTCTTTAAGAGAAGATACAAATTGTTTCTAAGAAATAATAAAGATAATCATTCCTTTTGGGATGATACATTATCGTTCAAGAAGAACAATTTAAAAAAATCATCCCTTTGGGATGATAAATCTATCGTTTCAATAAGAACGATTAAAAATCATCCCAAAAGGACGATAGATCATCATTCTTATTAAATGAATTAAAAAATCATCCCAAAAAGACGATAGATCATCATTCATTAAAAACGATTTAAAAAATCATTTCAAAGGAACGATGAATCATCATTCATTTAGAACGATCAAAAAAATCATTCCAAAGGGATGATACATTATTGTTCTTATTGAACGATTTAAAAAATCGTTCTAAGGGGACGATAGATCATCGTTC